GCACACCTTTTCTGCTCCCTTATCAACAAAAATATGCAATCCTGCCTTTAGGCAATAGAAATATTATCCTTTATTCGATGAAAAGCTACAAACACAAGACCCTTGTGAGTAAAAAGGTATATATATTATGTAGAGGGTTAGAAAATTAAGATAAAAATTACCATCTTGTTACGCTGAATTCGAGCAGCCCAGTTTGGAATTTGGTCTACTTAGTCAGATCTAGTGTTCTTGCTATTATCTAAGTCACCCAATATATATTACATAAAGGAACAAATAAGGAACAAAAGATGAGTAGTAATTAAAAGGAAAAATAAATAAATATTTGAAGAGCAAAATCAAAATATAAAAGGACTGGAGGTACAATGAAATCTTGTCTAACCTTTGAGAGAGGTTTTGTGGATGTTATGAGATGATTTCAAAGCAAACCGAGTCTTATGGGTCTGGTTGAGCAATTTATATTGTTGATGGCTCAAATGTAGTTTTTCTAAAAATTTAAATTAAATACATTAAATCACAATTAAATATAAATTGAGAGAAGGAATATAATATCGAAAATTCCTAAAATAACTACGTAATTTTAAGCATTCATCACACCTCCCAACCAGCTTTAATTTTAGAACCTAGCAATTAAGGTGACTAAAATAAAATCAAAAAGAAGAATAAAAGCAACTACTCTAAACCACTTCCGCAATAAATCACGATTGAATTTAGCACATGCAACAAACCCTTAATCCAATAGATTACCCCTCATGGACGAGTTAAAGTCTCGTGTTTCCAAAGATGTTACCCACAAACATCCAAAAATTTATTTACTAAAACGACTTCTTTCATTCTCATGCCAAGGTTAAAGAACCAGTCATGAATTTCACAACCTTAACAAGATAATCAATCAAAGTTCAAAAGACTAGCAGCAAGTAAAGATATTGCATGACATTCAAAATTTGGAGTGTGTGAAAAAAGTTCAACCAACACAAACACAACCTTAGCCTTAAAGTGAAATATAACCCAAATCTCTTTCTGAAACATGCTTCGACTCAAATCTCACCAGCTATTGCACTCAACAAATAAATCACTTGGAATATGGTGCAAAAATTGCTCTCAATATATGCGAGTAGAACAATGTAAATCAAAGGCAAAATATCCAGCATACTAATTTTTTTGAAAAACGCTAATATGAAAAAATAAATAAATAGTCTCAAGAATGGAATATCAAATACTGAGAAATAAAATTTCTAGAAATGTTACCCACAAACGTCAAAAATTTTCTTTACTCAAGGATTTCTTTCGTCCTCATGCTAAAGTTCAAGAACAAGTCATGAATTTCACAACCTTAACAAGATAACCAATCAAAGTTCAAGACACTAGCAGCAAGTAAAGCTATCTTATGACATTCAGAATTTGGCGTGTGTGAAAAAGTTTAGCCAACACATACACAACCTTAGCCTTAAAGTGAAATATAACCCAAATCTCTTTCTGAAACATGCTTCGACTCAAATCTCACCAGTTATTGCACTCAACAAATAAATCACTCAGAATATGGTGTAAAAATTACTCTCAATATATGCAAGTAGAATAATGTAAATCAAAGGCAAAATATCCCGCATACTAATTTTTTGGAAAAACGCTATAATGAAAGAATAAATAAATAGTCTCATGAATGGAATATCAAATACTGAGAATTAAAATTACCACACCATCACCCCAATCCATCATGTCCACTTGTAAACTATACCACACTCAAGATCAAATAGGACTTTCATTTGGTTGTAATGCTTGGGTTGAGGAATTAAGAAAAAATAATAAAAAGCCAAAGGTGAATAAAAAAAAGGACGTCTGAGAGACAATTGGCATAAAAATAAACACAATTAGAGCATTATTCCAAATGCCTTGCTCTTTCTATTTCTTTTCTTTTTGTCTTTTTCAACTTACTCCTGCTTTTTTTTTTTCCTTTGTTGAACACAATTTATTTCTTCTTCTTTTTTTCAGCTTTTCTCCTTTTTTTTTTTTTTCAAAAAAATTTGCCATTGTCAAACTCAAATAATCCCAACATATCTACAAAAGTAAAAAGAAAGTATGGGTTGTGGCGTTAAACAAAGAAAGGCTAACATAAAGGCTCAAATTGGTTTCTAATGGTTCATGAAGTAATAATAAAAGAAAGAAAAATAAATAAAGGGCTCAAAGAAACAAAGATGGCCTAAAATCATCTCTCAAGAATTAGTATGGTCCATCAACTTTCATGATCTCAAGGGAATAAAAGTGTCATAACAAATTGATTTATTCTCAGCATTCAACCAAAATGAAGAAATAATGAGACTAAACAACAAATTAATGTCCTTCCAAAGAAAATTAAGAGTAGATGTATAGTAACCCTCCAATAAATGATTGGCACAAAACTCACAGGGTTAAAAGTCTCCACTATCATTCTTCAAGATTTTCAAGTCATATCCACTTATCAACTAAAAATCATATTTATGTGGCTAAAGTGCACTGCAATTATTTCCAAATACGAACACATGAAATACTTTAACAAAGTAGCTAGCATATCAAACTTCAACACAATTTCTCAAGTTAAAGCAATAAAATACTACAAGTATGCCGAATCACTCAATGCATAGAGCAATACATTACCTTGCACACCTTTTTTTCTTTTTTAAAAAAAACAACTAACTCATTGTAGCAAGCAAACATACAAATTCTTCCCAAAACAAGTATTTTTTCCCCCCAACCTAAACGATGCATCATCCTCGAGGGAGTAAAAAGTGTGATAACAAATTGATTTGTTCTCAGCATTCAACCAAAAATGAAAAAATAATGAGACTAAACAACAAATTAATGCGCTTCCAAAGAAAAATTAAGAGTAGATGAATAATGACCCTCCAATAAATGATTGGCACAAAACTCACAGGGTTAAAAGTCTCCACTATCATTCCTCAAGATTTTCAAGTCATACCCACTTATCAACTAAAAATCAGATTCATGTGGCTGAAGTGCAGTGCAATGATTTCCAAATATGAACACACGGAATACTTTAACAAAGTAGCTAGCATATCAAACTTCAAAACAATTCTCGAGTTAAAGCAATTAAATACCACAAGTATGCCCAATCACTTTCCTCAAGATTTTCAAGTCATACTTATCAACTAAAAATCAGATTCATGTGGCTGAAGTGCAGTGCAATGATTTCCAAATATGAACAGACGGAATACTTTAACAAAGTAGCTAGCATATCAAACTTCAAAACAATTCTCGAGTTAAAGCAATTAAATACCACAAGTATGCCCAATCACTCAATGTATAGAACAAAAGAATACCATGAGCACTAATTTTTATTTTTTTTTAACAAAATAACTAACTCATAGCTGCAAACAAATATATAAATTCTTCTTAAAATAAGTATTTTCTCCCCCCAAACTAAATGCATTGTCCTGAATGTAAAAAATAAAATCAAAAAGTTAAGGAGATTACCTTAAATGATTAACCATGTCTATATGTGCCATTGCCTGCAAGGGGTTAGCGCCAAAAACATAAAGGAAAAAAAATACAAACGAAAAACTAACAACTCCTAAAAGTAACATTATTTTGAATAACATGCACAAACCGGATCATTGGAAATTTTGATCAATTATTTTGAACAACTTTCTGAATGGAGTAAAGGAAGTTGGAATCGTCGATCTCTAATTATCTAAAAACTACGAAAAGGGTGGTTTTGGTTTCTATAACGCGCCACAACAAATGAAACACAAAATTCCAACAAAATCTCCACAAAAGAAGAGATAAAATTGCATAAGATAATACATGTATTAGCAGTTCACTCTTTGCATGTTTTTTTCTTAATTGTGGTGTCCTCGAGATACTTGTATATGACAAATGCTAAAAGTGCTGGATATTGGGATTGAAACAAAGAAGTGTCTTGAAAATAGGTCAAACAGTTAAAAGAAGTGCATTAATTTCAATAAAAACTGCATTGAATTTAATAAAAAGTGTCTTGTGTTTTCAAATTTATTTTTTGGTCTACTTTTTGTGTCCTCGAGGCACTTGTTAACAAGACCCTTCATATATTGGTATTCATAATTTTAGTTTTATTTTATTTTCGTCTGGTCAATGCTACTTCAGAAATAAATTTTGTTCCTTATGTGATGCGACATCTTATTTTGTATGTTTAAAGTTATTATGCACCTTCCCGACCTTGTTGGAACAAAATATGGTATAGTAATTTCGTACTGAAACTAAATGAGCTTGGAGATTTTGACAACTAAACACATGTTTAATTTCAAAAAGAAGGATCTAAAAGAATCCGTAGAGCCTGATGTCAAGAGAAAATTGAGAAACTAATTGGTATGAGTAGTATTTTATTTTTGAGTTACGACTTATGTCTACAAATTGGCTTTCCTACTTAACAAAAAAAATAAAAATAGAATCATCTTTACCGACTCAAACATGAATGAAGGACCTCATACTAGGATCAACATCATGTAGAACCACCTCTCCAAAATAAAGAAAAAATAGACGAATTTCATGAGTAAAACTATAGAATAGAAGAACAATGGTTACGTCATCACATATGTAAGCATAATGAGGGGAAGAACTAGGGGAGAGGCAAATATCAAGCACCAAAAATACTTCAACATTCCAAATAAATAGTAACTACAAGTTAATAACACCTGCAATCAATTCATGGTCATTTTTTTCCAAGTTTTATTTGTTTCTTGTTTGGTTGAAGGGCTATTTTTTATAAAATTAAACTTCTAAATAACTGAAAATCTTGGCGGTTGCCTGGCCCTCAATCTCCATCAACATCTCCAAATTACATGGACTACACTAACAGGAATTGCAATGTATGTAGAACTCTGAACGTGAAGTAAAAGCAAAATTAAATAAGATGAGACAAAAACAATACACATTTTTTAAAAATGGAAAAGTAGGGACATGCATATAGGAGTCACCCAAAAAAAAAAAAAAGAAGCAACAACATTATTTAATGGGAACTGCATTTTTATAACTAAAATTTATGGCGGTAGTGATGGAAAATTATTTGTACATCCACCAGCAAAGATGTAGGCAAGTTGCAGCCTGCCATGACACAATATACATTGAATGCTTTGATTTTCAAGCTTTTCCAATAGAAGCCTCAGAGTAATACCAAAACAAAACTTGTCTCAATTCTACTAAAATAACTTTTTTACCTCATAAGAGAAAATTTGGTCTATAAATAGAGTAGAAGTTTTCACTGTAAGTAGGGGAACCAATGCACATATTAAAGCTGAAACACATATTAAAGCTAAAACAGAACATGAATTTCAAAATAACTATACAGAGTGAAAATATTGTGACATGCATCAAGAATAGAGTCAAAGTGAAAATATTGACATCATGCAATGCTATAGCAAAATACACATCAAGAGAGAGAGGAGAGATAGTGACAGTGGTGATTAAGAGTTTGATGAGGGTGTGTGATCATAAAGCAATCAATGGATAGAGAAATCAATACCAGTAAAAGAAGACCACTAGAGGTTTGAGATTGAGAAATCGAAGCCACTGAGCATTGAAAAATCTTGTTAAGTTGCAGATAAACCCTAGCTCTGAAATCTTCAACACACTTCATGAAGCTTGTTCACCTGATCATATTGAAATCACATAAACAAAAATAATCACAAGAATAATCAAGCAATTTTATACAGAATTCAATTAATCTCAAGCAATTTGAAGCAAAATTTAAGCAATTCTCCATCATCAGAAAGACAATTTCAGAAAAATAAATAACTAGATTTCAAGATGCATGATGGATTTCAGACGATCTCACACTTCTTCTTCTTCTTCTACTTCGTCTTAGGGTTTGAGTGTGGTTTAGAGGGTTTCTGCTGCTTCGTCTAAGGGTTTTTTTGTGCTTCGTCTTCATGTTCTCCATCAGAAAGACGATTTGAATGAATCAATTTCAAAGGTTTTGGGTTTCTCAAATGGATAGAAGCTAGAGAGATCGAAAGGGTTTAGGGTTACGGAGAGAGAGAGCAGCGATGAAAGATAATAGAGAGAGAGAGAGGCATCAATAAACAAAGGAGTGAAAAGAGAGAGGAGACCGTTATAAAACCCTAATTTTGAAGCGGTGGAAGATTAGCGAGAGAGAGGGGTCTAGAAACAAAGGAGGGAAAAGAGAGTGAAAGTTGTGAAACCCTAATTTTTAACACGTTACCTTGGGGGTAAGTGGAAGCAAGCTTCAACCAACCAAGCTACCTTAAAATGTTGATATGGAACTGAAATTAATAATTTATATATATATATATATACTAGTATATGCCCGTGTTGTTGAGATCAAAATTCAGTTATAATTTATACGTATCGTGCTAAAATTTGTAAAATCTGTAACTTTTTTTGATAAAAATACTAAAAAAATATAAAGAAATATTCATCTTATGGATTAAAATATAATTTATCTAATTTGTTGCGCAAAAAAAAAAATTTGAGGTCAAAATATAAATAGATGGTCTATTTGGTTTAGATTTTCAAATAATTTTATAATTAGAGTTTGGTTGTATATTTTGAAAATAATTTTTACAAATTTGAAATTCAAAACTTATTTGGTTTACAGCTTTCAAAAATAATTTTTAAAATTTTCAATATGTATTTTATTACTTTTAGTAAACTTTTTAAATATTTTAATCAACATTTTTTACTTTTTCAGATCCATTCAATCTGAATACACTTAAAAATTATAAAATTTAGAGTAATGTCATAAAATTTACCCTTAAAAATTTTTTAAATAATTTTTACAAATTTAAAATAAAATTTTATAATTTTGCATGATTTATGTATTTTAAGTATTTGAACTCAAATTATAGTAAATAATACATTTTAATTATTTTTTTATATTTTGTATAAAATAAATACTAACAAAAACAAAAACATAATTTGTTCCCAAGAGAGTGAGGCAACGGTGGCGGTGGCCGCGACGGACAACAAAACACACTTTGTGTCCAAGAGCCACAACAGCCCAAAAAAACAAAAAACAAAAAAAACTCTTCACCCCCACCCACCCATCCATCCTTTCTCGCTCATCTCACTTTTTCAAATTTCAAATTTTAAAACACACACTCACTCTCTCTCTCTCCCCTCAAAACACACTTTGCTACCCCAAGAAGAAGAGGCCAAATCTATAAAGGCCAAAAAAAAAATTCCTGCCATATTAAGTGTTTGAGACGTGAGAGAGAGAGAGAGAGAGAAGAGTATTTGGGTGGGAATCAAGTGTTTGGTACATTTGAAAGGATTGATCTTAACCATTGATATACACATAGAATTAATTTAGACCATTAAAAATCATTTTGGACATTTTTAAAAATCATCCTGCCATATTATATAGATTTACCTTTGCCATTGTCACTATGTCAGGCACAATGCCTTGGGTCTCAAATCCCCAAAAATGGCTCCCAGTGTGAGCAAACCTAGATTGAACCTTATCGGCAATACAAAGCCCTCCTGCTTTCTTAATACTGTTGTATACGGCAGGAAAGTAACCTGGGGCCAATTCAATAATTCCACCCACTCCCTGCCATTTTAGAGTAGTTCAAATTAGACAGTAACTCGGAAAAGGTTGTATTAATAGGAAAATGATATTCTCACACAATTTTCGTACAGAATTTAAGACAAAAATAATGTGACAATGACACTCTTGCAATTATGAACCATAGTGATGGCATTTGACTATCAATGTAGGGATATAAATGCGACACATCATTTTGCATAAATTTTTAGGGTGCAAATGACTAGGAAGAGGTTGTATTTAAAGTTTCACGTACTGTCCACTGAGATGAATAATTTTTAGGGTGCAAATGACTGGGAAAGTCAGCTCTGGGGTAATATTTTTTTTTTTGTCAAGGAAAGAATTTTTATTTATAAAAAAGAAAAAGAAAAAGAAAAAGAAAAAGAAAAAAAAAAGAAGCGATTTTTACTCTTTGTCCATTCAGATGATCAGGCTCTGAATTCATGTATAGAAAACAGTAACATGAATCCCTATGTATGTATATGATAGTAATCAAATTAATTGATTCAGAGAGAGAAAACCAATACATGACATTAACATTTACAAGCAGCAGATACATTTAATTACAAACAGATCAATTAATACACGCATCTGCTTATGCAAGAAATTTCTGTTTTTATGCTTTGATTTCACATACTTAAAAAATAAAAATGAAAACAGAAATATTGAAGAAGAAGAAAAGATACAAAATACACAAAGATGGCATAGAGATCTTGTTGAGTAACATCTAAGATCTATTTTGTTTTGTTGAAATGGATTGGAGAGAAGAATCAGGTGGCGGTGTAGATGTGGAGATGGAGGAGGACGATGAGGATGGAGTAGAGGACGAAGAAGAGAAGAGTGATGTTGTTTATGGACGCCCCCGCCATCAAGGAAAGCACGCTTGAACTCTACATCATTGATGTATGCTGTGACAAAAAGTGGACGATTATGGGGAAATGGGTATGCTTTGTCTGCCTCTGAAAAAGTAACAGCCCCATAAGCTTCCTGGATGCGCCGAAGCACACACTCCTTAGCCTAAGCAACTTTATCACGGTGCACTTCAAAAATCTTTATGAGGGCTTTTGTTGCTTCCAACCTGGCGGCTTGGCTCAGCCCTAACTGGTCAAAGAAGGCGCAAAACTTAACAGAGTTTAGCAAGGCCTGGGCATTAGCATCCTCTACGAATTTTGCCTCTGCAGGTACTGTCTCAGGGAGCTGGCAGGTTACAATTTCTTCTAACTCATCATAGTAAGACGCCATATGCACTTGATCACGCACAGGCCCGAGATAGCCAATCATATATGTACATTCTTCCCCTTCTCCTTGTGGTTAGGATAAGGGTCCTTCTGTACATCACGGTTACTGGCATCTTAGAACTTCGGCTTATTTGCGTCAACTTTCTTCTTAAAGATACTTTTCAAAGTCCAACAGTCCCTAGGAGGATGTCTGGTGGTTCTGTGATAGACACAATAATCCGGGCTTTCTTTGTCCTTCTTGGTTGGAGGGACATCAACTAGAGGCAAGGTAAGTTCACCATCAGCTACCCATTCTTTAACCAGAGCCTCAACATTCTCAAGGCTGCAAGGACATAGATTTCGGTCCTCATAACTTTTTCTTTTCCGAAAGGACGTCGCCTATCCTTGCGAGTGGCTCCCTCCTGCAGAGGTTACCGCAGCAACTCTGCTACTGCAAGGGTAGCGGTGGCTGTCATGAGATCTGTGCAAGGGACCAGTGGTACTGAGGTTCCTAGCTGCCTCAATCAAGGCTGAAATGGTAGGCAGATTATGATTCACCAAGAAAATTTTGTAGTCGCGTATGGCACCCCTCCACACATATGCTGACTAAATGGGCCTCATCCACTGGTTCATGACAGTCAATAGCCTTATCTTGGAACTGCTTAACATAGTCCAGTATATCTTCGCTCTCCCTTTGGACATCTCGCCCAAGGGTGAGGGTTGTAACTTTCTCTTGGACTTGGAAGAACTTCGTGTAGAACTTGTTCACCATCTCCTCCCAACTCTTGATCGAGTTGGGAGCCAAGTTCACATACCAGCTGCAAGCCCTTTCAGTAAGTGGACTTGGAGAACTCCCGAAGGCACAGAGAGTGGTCACGGCCATGGACACCAACAGTTTCAATGAACCTCACCACCTGTTCTCTGGCATTGCCTTGTTTCCCATCAAACTTAATAAACTTGGGCACGCCATACCCAACTGGGTATGGCATGGTCAATATCTCGTGAGAGTATGGGGCCCTCACATCTGAGTCGGGAGAGATGGGAGTTGCTTCTTGCTACGCTCTTGCTTGAGCATAACTTGTACATCGGCTAGAGTAAAAAAGTGAGTGGGCCGGAATGGTCCAGTCTGCTCCTGGGTAGTTGAACCAGCGGCCGCACCGTTCGCCTGAAGTACCACCGGTGGCACCTGGATCGGAGCCCGAACCTCAGGGAACAGGTTAGGCACTGGGTTTGGGACTACTACGGGCAGAGGTGCTTGCACTGGAGCTGGTCGAGAAGCCATGGCCATAACAACCTCAGTGAGAGTTTGCAAAGCTGCCAGGATCTCCCTCTGCGTATCCTGGAGTGACTGAACTGCCTCAATCACAACACTGTGGTCACGGTCCTCCGCATGTGCTGCTCCGCCATTTGAAGAGCCTTGCTGAACTTCAACCTCTACCATTTTTTCCAGTGAGGTGTGTAAACCACTGCGGGTATGAACCATCAACAAAGCAGCCTCTCCAGCGGAGTCGCCAGAAATGTAAAGGGGTTCGAGGTTAGAAAAGGTGATTAGAGAGGTAAAACTATGCTAATGGTCCAAGAATGGTGGAAGTGGCTTGAGAATGAGCAGCAGCAACTATCTGGAAGTTGGAGAGTGTGCAGCTGGGTGAGGGTGAAGCACGTAGCTCAAGAAGAAATGTATGGCAGTGCCAAAATAGGCAGCGTCTCCCCCAAATCCCAAAAATCCCTCTTGTTGAACCTTGGGAAATGGGTCCTATTTATAGGCTTTTCCTTGGTACCAAGAGCACACCAAGTGGCCAAATAGAGAGACGACATGTGTCCTAGAGAATCACATGGAATATTCTGCCTTGAGCCACCAGGCTGAACGTGCCACATGTCCTCCTACATGTGCTGTGTACTATCTGTTTGCCTCCGCAACTACCTTTTCGAGCCTCAGCAAGTGTAGTTGCGACGTAAGTGTTTGGCGCTGCAACTACCTCTTGAGCCTCAACAAGTGCAGTTGCAATGGGAGCGTTTGCTGCTGCACTTGCCTTCTCAGCTCGAACCTTAGCAAGTGCACTTGCAGCAGTAAACCTTGCTACTGTACTTGCCTTCTCAGTTCTACTTAGCCACTGCATGCATTCTCAGGACTCCATTAGTCTACTATCGACTATGTTCGTGCTCACTGCAACGAAGCCTTCACCCTTAGCCACCTAACCACAAGCTCCCCAGGGTGAAGGCCACAGCCAAGCCTGCTATCAGCCGTGCTGTTCCTTAGTACAAACGCCAAGGGGCTTCCTTAGTCCTGCCTGTGCGACTAAGGCAGGTCTATGACCTGGGTAATAGAAAGAGAGTCCCTTATGCTCGGGCTACCCTGCTCCCATCGTTACGGGATCGCCGCGGTAAACTGGTACCCTGGGCCTGCCATCAACTCCTACCAGTAAGTCTTGGGGCCTGCTATCAGTGCCAAGTTAAATGAATTTTGGAGCCTGCTATCAGCCTTGGGCTAGTAATGCCTTGGGGCGTGCTATCAGCGCCAGGCATTACCCTCTACTTGCAAAGGGGAAGCTTTTCCCAGAAGCTACTATCACCTTGGCGGGATGTTTCCTCCGCAAGTTGGTTGCAACGGCAGTAGTTGCTGCAGTAGTCATTTCCCGTGGCAAGTTCAAATGGCATAACCGACAATATTGAAGATGGCAGCGCAGACAAAGTGCCTATGCAACTTGGGCACCTCTGCAACTTGGTTGTTTCGGTTCTCTCCTTTCCTCAACAACTCCATGTGGCGACGGAACCGAGAATACTAGGAATGGCAGTGCTAAGACAAAGTGCCTCCGCAACTTGGTCGTCACAACTGTCGCCTCTGCAACTTAGTTGCTTCGGCTTTCTCTTTCCCGCATCAACTTTGGGGCGGAGCCAAAGATATTAGCAATGGTGGCGCTGAGGCAAAGTACCTCAGCAACTTCCCCGCTGCATGTATTCCCTCTACAACTCATGTGTTCCCGCTACAACTTACTTGGTCATTTTCCTTCGTGGAGTCTGTTTGGACCCATGGCGGGTGGGACCTACTCCAGCCCACTGTTGGCCCACTTCCCTTGGACTTTAGCCCATGCTCCTTTCTCATTCCTAGTTGCCTCTTTGGGGCGACCTCAGTACTTAGGCCCATACTTAATTGGGGGTTAAATTTCTGACCCTCTACATTTGCCCCCTGCCCCAGTGGGGTACACGTTCCTGGTTTCCCGCGTGTGCATGACGCCAGCAAGTAACCCAAGGGATGCGTCGGCTCTTAAAAGGATTACCCAATTGACTGACGGGTCATAATGGGCCTAGGGAAGTGTGTCGACGCCCTTTTGCTACTTTCTTTATAAATAGCGCCCATGGGTCCACTGGTCCCCCACTTCCGCCCAGACACTTTCTGTCTCCTTGTCTTCTTTTCCTTGTACCCACTTTCCAGAGTCTTCTTTACTTTTCTTTATACTTCCTTATGGCCCGCACAAGGTTTCTACCCAACAGGGCTGACCCACCCCCTACTGAGTGGAGGAGGGCCTCACACTTCGGAGGGCTAGCTGACCCTTTCTGGAAGGCCGTTGACTCCTTCGTTCCTGATGCCCTTCCTTTGGAGGTGCCTCTGCTTCCTTTTAGTGAGGCTGCTTTGGATGATGCTGACATGGTGAACCCAGTTCTGTGCTGAGGTTTCGCGTGGAGCGTGGTGACTTTCCCCATTACTATCGCACTCACTCGGGCCCTTCAACAGGCTGGTCCCTCTGGGTTGATGACATCATTGCAGATGCCATTCGAGCAGCAATTTCGGGA